GGGTGACAAAAGTACCTACTCGAAGCATAAAGTTACCTGTATTTTTCCAACCAGCTGCAAATCCTACAGGTATTTTTGTCATCAATTTAAGAATTGTAATTATTTTGTGTTGGTGGCTTTATTATTATAAAATGAAACATTTTTTTAGGTGCCCTGTTTGACATGGCTACAAAGAAGAAGCAAACTACCTATATAGTTTAAGTTTAAAAAATTTGGCTCTCAAAAGAAATTTCAATCGTTGCACTGTTGATATTTGGCTCTGTTGACTAATGAGTTTGCCGACCACAGGTATAGGAGGAAGAGAGCCTGGAAGGGTGTGAAGTACAGCAAAGAGAAGCCCCCCACAGGCAGGAGCACACAGGAGGTGTTCTGTGGAGATGGGCAAGGGTACTCAGTACACAATCAGTCCAGGCTGTGATCAGAAACACTTGGCAGTCACCAGGGCCAGAATCAGCTCTCAGGATATAGCAAACGGCTTGCTGTGCTTTAGTATCACCATTAGGACAGTGAGACCATACACTGTGTCACTTCACTGGCACTCACAGGGCAAGTCAGGGTGACATACATCAGACCTGCCACCTAAAGTCTCTCACTGTAACAGGTGAAGCAGCAACTGCCATGCGGCCACCTGCATCCTGAGCCAGCAGGGCGCGACCTGCCGGTTAAAGGAGAACTTAAACCAGCCCAAAGAACCATTTTAAAGGCCACTGCTACTAAAAACAGAGTCAACCCTCCTTTACCACACTCACGGCTGGTGAACTTCACAAAGCAAAACTCAGACTGATCTCAGTGACAAGTGTCCATGTACAAAAACGAAGACATGTTCCTTTAGCAAAGTAAACAAGTCCCAAAGTGAAGCTCTGGAAACCACTTGGGGTTACAAAGGCCAGGAAGGGGTCAGAGCAGGTTTATTCTAGCTAACATGTACCTGTTTTCTAAAGAAAGCACCTGCCCTGAGAGAATTGGGGGGAAATCGATGCATCCCCTCATTTTTCTCTGCCCTGTGAAATCTGACCTCCCCATAAACCCAGCTACACCTGGTGCTTTCCTTCCCTATCAATATAGGAAAATGAGTACAGGCCGAATTTAATTTCTCATGCTCACCAAATCCATATCCTGAAAAATTAATAGCAGCAGCATGAAACTAACAGAAAATTCCAACCAAGACATCAGTGATCATATTCATGAGGCTTATACTTCTTTGAGATGTTAAGTATAAGGTCAACAGCAATGGCAGCTCTCCATTTGGCTTCAAACTTGATTCTGACATGTTTCCCCTTGGACATTTCCCCCCATATTCCAGCAGCTGTTGCTTCCCTTTTATAATAGGTTTTCCACATCCCTTTAATTCTAATTTTTAAAAAAACTTCAATTTTCTCTTAAATATTCCAATCAATGTTACAAATTATAAGAAAATATGTGAAATCAACAAATGTTTGCTATTTTTCAAAAGCCATGCCACCAAACATGCCTCCTCCTTTCCAATGCCTTATGGTGAAATTGAAAAGCATAAAATTTTTAAGTATTAAGGGAAAATGGAGGAGTCTATTTTTTTTAAATATATTTCTTTATTGATTTCAGAGAAGAAGGGAGAAGGAGAGAGAATCATCGATCAGCTGCACCCGAGCATGTGCCCTTGGTCAGAATCGAACCCGAAACCCGGGCATGTGCCCTTGGTCAAAATCGAACCTGGGACCCTTTAGTCCACAGGCTGATGCTCTACCCACTGAGCCAAACCAGCTAGGGCAGGAGTCTATTTCTTCATTACCACCTTGAATCATACAAAATGACTACAATTTGGCAAAAATATATTCTGTACCCACCAAGATGTTGTAGGAATCCTAATGACAACAGCTACCAAATGGTTAGCACTATGCACCAGGCACCCTGTAAGCAACTTACATTTGTCATTTTTTGTTGTTGTTTAGTCCTTACAGCAATCTTACAAGTTGGGTACTATTACTACCCGCCTTTGGCAAATAAGAAGACAGATATAAGCAAATCAGAACAGGGCCCTTGTCTGCCTGCTCCTGGTTGAATCACCAGCTCCCAGCAGTGCCTGCCTCATGGCAGACACTCAATGCACATTTGTTTGCTATATGAATGGGGAATGAGTGGTTGGGCCACTTCTTGCACAACTCCCATTCACACTGTGCTCTGTCTGTGGCCGGTGTGAATGAGTCCCTCCTGAGCCACTTCTTGCACAACTCTAGGGGGCGCTATTGACATTGTGTTCAGTCTTTTGTTAATGTAAATGGGTCCCTCTGTACATGGCAGGCAAGGAATGATGACCGAGGCTAAAATCAACTGGCACATCTGAGGATTTACTATGTGCCAGGCAGGCACTCTGTCACTTCCATTTCTCTGAGGCACCAAGGAAAGTGGCAAAACCAAAAGTCAAACCCAGGGTGGTTGACTGGAGAGCCCCTGGTGAAGAAACACCCCTGGATGTGTTTCTTTGCCAGCAGAATGTTGTTCTCACCAGACATTTGCCCAAAATACGTAATTCTTCCCGCTCTCCCACATCTGCATTAGGATTACCTCCCATTGTTTTGAGGGTCCACAAGGAGTGGTAATGAATGCAAATGAAGATGTGTATGTTTGCTTTTCAAAGACAAAGATTATAGACCATGTACTGATGATGTCACAGTTCTGATGTCATCCCCCAGCCCTAACTCCAAAACTTACAAGATCAAAATGATTTTAGCCCTAACCGGTTTGGCTCAGTGGATAGAGAGTCGGCCTGCCGACTGAAAGGTCCCAGGTTCAATTCCGCTTGGTTGCGGGTACATCCCCAGTAGGAGGTGTGCAGGAGGCAGCTGATCAACGTTTCTCTCTCATCGATGTTTCTAACTCTCTATCCCTCTCCCTTCCTCTCTGTAAAAAATCAATAAAATATATTTAAAAAAAAAAAA